AAAGTGGCCACAGCTGCAGCTCCGGGTCAGTGTCTGAGAGGCTTTGGACTTCGGGGATCCAGTGAGCACATTAGACACGGCTCCTCACAGTCTACCCACTGTTCCTCTCCCCTTGCAGGACTTCATATCCCTCACCTCTTGGAAACATCAGTGTTCTTTAACCACACATTCAGTAGGTTCGTTATTATCCATTTTTAAAAATGCCTGTGCCATGGATTACGGAGAATGTAAATCCATAACTAAGTATTTCCTTCTCAGCACTCAGATTCGGGAGATTCAATCTGACCATTCTTCCACATCTTAGGAACAACCCCCAAAGCCATAGCCACGAAAGTGCACATGCTCTGTAAGGCTTTTGTGCCTGACTTGTCCTTATGGGTGCTGCTGCTTCATTCACAAATGGTCAGAACTGGAAGACTCTTGGAAGTCACTGAGCAATGTCGAATGCGGCCATTTCTCATCAGGGAATCTCATTCACGGGCTAAAACTAGATAACATCAACCCAGGTGTCAGGAAAAGAGCACCAGATTGAAAGTCTTGAGGCCTAGGTTCTGCTTTGGCTTCTGCTGTGAGTCACCCTATGGCCTTGAGCAAATCTGTTAACTCAATTTCCCAATCTATAAACTGAAGGCATTGAGCTGGATGATTTTGAAAGGTCTTGTTCAGTTAAAAAAAAAAATCTATGATTCATTCTCTTCAAACAAATCAAATATGGGTTTCATTTCCTGAAGTGGTTTTGTCAATGAAAGTTGAAATATCTAAATCTTTTCTGTCTAATAAAAGGGCCAGCAAGTGGCTTCAGTGAATTTGCAGAAAAGCAATTTCAGCAGAAAGCCCTTCATGAAGGGAAGAAAGTTTAAATCACTTCACCCAAGCCTGTATTTCTTTTCTGTATTGTGTTTTCACTATGTGCTCAGTGTGGAGCCAGACCCTTCCCCAAAGTCACAAAACAAAAAAATGTTTTTTTTCTGTTTTGTTTATCTTTGTTTGCTGATGTCCGTAGCTCTTGAAGTTCTTCTTGGGGTGTTATGCCAATGAATTGAACATAAAGCAGTTGAACATGTAAAAAAATCTTAATATGTTTGTGTCTTTAAGTTGACCCAGATTCTGAACTCAACAGGCAGGAAGGACCCGGTCTCATCATGATCTGTGGTTCCCCTGCAGATGCGGAAGAAAATGTGATGCCATTACAGAGTCAGCATATTCCAGTAGAAAAGGCACTGGACAGTAGTTAAAACATTCAGATAAGAGTAGTGTATTTGTGGTACACATGTGTCTACTTTCTATTTCTGTGTCAATGGCAGACATTATTAATCAATCATGGCTCTTTTTCCTGCAAAACTTATGCATAGCCTTCTCCCTCATACAGCATTTGAGGCAGCCATTACCAGTTGATGAGAGATGGGATGTCAGTGGAGAAATAATTTGCTATTCTGGACTTACATTCTTGTGATAAGTCAAAATCACACAGAATGATTCAAGGCTGATCACTTACACTTTCTGGACTTCCTTTATCTTCCCTAAAAAGCAATAAACCATTTCCTGCCTTGCACAGAACCAGTTTCAAGGATCAAAACATATTCTGTGAAGGATGACTTGCCATTAAAAAGTCAAATAATGGAAGAAATCAGTATTTGTTGATTAATTGATCCAAATTTCATGCCTACATCATTAGGTCTGGATAACCACTACTACAGTTTAGTCAGTGGCGTGGGGTGGGCGGGAAGTTGTTGTCTATTACAGACGCCAAACCTGCTGAGCTAAATGCACTGTGAACTAGGTTCTCCCAGGGCAGTGGTCCTGGGAAGTACCCGCACACACCCAGGCAGCTGTGAGGAACCTGCAGTTCTGACTCCAGGTGTCCTCAGCCTCACTCACCAGCCATGCAGGTACCTGGGAGAACTGATTTGTGAGTTATTATGGCCTTGCTGGTAATACCAGCAATCATTGCTGCTGTCTTTTTATTCCTGGAGTCACTGAGCTAAGCTCTTTCACATGTATTACCTCATTTAACCTCACCAAAATCCTATGAAGGATGAACCCTGTGTTCTTATTGTATAGATGTGAGAAAAATTGCTGTGGAGGTTAACTAACTTGCCCAGGGGTAATGCAACCAGCAAGCAACAGAGCCTGGATCCAACCTGGGTCTGTCTTGGCCTTTGTGGACCCTAGAAACTATAAGGGTGACAGATTCAAATATTAAAACAAATCAGATAATAAAGCAGTTCTATGAAGACTTAGATGATTCAGCAGAAACACAGATACATTGCTGCATATGTGTTCAACACTGTACTTCTCAAAGTTCTTTACAGCCACTACGAGTGCCCTCCCCAGACTCTATCTACAAGTCTGCTTCTTTAGGGAGAGCTTAATTTTCAACCACATTGTTGTCTACACTTACAGAGAGGAAGTAACAAACTGAAATGAAGAAGTTATGACCCTTATGACTTACGGCTGAGATACATTTTCTGAGATATGGAAGTTGCATGACTTTCCGGAGAGGCAGATCCCAGGAGACATACTTAGAGAAAATGAATGGGGCTAGTGAAAGCCTGGCTAACCTCTGGAGGAGGTGTTGACTGAACTTCCTTAGTGAAATGGAGAATTTGCATCACTCACCATACATCCAGCTTTCACAGATGGGCACCACGTACTGAAAACCAGTCAGTTTCTAAAGAGCAGGTCAGCACTTTCTTTTGGAGTTGGTTAGAAGAAAATGTTTCAGAGAAAGCCTGCTGGGCAGGTTGGGAGATGGCTAAGGTTTGAGTTAGAAACAGCCTGGAATTTGGGATGCATCAACCCTACTGTTTTGGGGGGTCTCAGGAAGGAATGGAGGGAGTGTCAATTTATTCCACTCCTCCAATTGGTTAATGGGGGCATAACCCTGGAACATCAACTCAGGCTTATAATCTCGCATGAGAAATAGTCTTCAACTATCATTATTAGATATTTTGATTGTTGGGGTTTTCTGTAAAGAATGGATTATTTTACAATCACTGTCCATCAGCGTAGTAAGATGCTGTAGAATCACTACTTGTCTTCTCCGTAATGGGGTGTTGGGGGGACTTAGTGAAGGGGGGAGCCTAGTAAACATAATGTTCTTCATGTAATTGTAGATTAATGACAACAACAACAAAAAAATACTGGTAAACCAAA